CGCATGTGAGGGCTGTTTTGCCTGGATGGATATCTGGCAAACCCGGTACTTCCTGGGAGTCGCGGTTGCATGCATGCCGCAGCTCTGTGGAAAAATGGCTGGGAAACGTACTGGTGGTTTAAAGATAAAGATAAAATTGTCATTCATCGTCTTTGCCACTTGGCCGACAGGTTTTCTGAGGCTTGTTCCTCCTCAGGCTTGTTTGGCTTGGTCTCCTTGGACTCGGTCCCCTAGAGTTTTGTTTGGCTTAGTCTGCCGGACCTTCCTCGCCGAAATAGAAGGAACAGTCATTATAGCTGTATTTAGGGCAACTTTCAGTCTACATACAGGGGATAACGACCATGCGATAAGGGGGGTGGGTAACACACGGGCAGGCCGCCGCCTGATGCCATGTACGCTTTACGTAGGCTGTGAGTGTTCTTCATTTTTTGGGTATTGTATTGTGCCCTCTACCTCCCCTCCATCCTCTTTCCAGTTTTCGACATTTTTTCAAATGGCTCCTCATCCGTCTGTCGATTTGGTTTTCACTGCCTTGTCACACAGATTGGATGGTGCTGCACATTACTTCTTTCTGAGCCTGCCCGCTCTCTTTGGCCCTGCTGTTGCATTTTGGGGTCTGCCCTCGAAATGTCTCTAACCTCTTTTCTTTGACGCTGTTGCTCGGTTTAGGGGGTGTCAAATGCCTCTGACCCCTTTTCTTTGGCCCTGTTGCTAGATTTCGGTTTAGGGGGTGTCAAACTGTCTCTCACCCTGTTGTTGAATTTCGAGTGCCAATTTTTTCTTATCCTTTTCCTTGTTGTTGTTGTTGTTGTTGTTGTTGTTGTGGTGGTGGTGGTGGTGGTCGTTGTCGTTGTCGCTGTCGTTGTTTTCCAGGGGCGGGGGGTGCGAGCGGAGGGGCAGGGGGGGTCAAAGGTCCCTTAGCAGTAGCACTTTCCTTTGGCCCTGTTTGACATGTGGGGTGCCAGATGTCTCTTAGCCGTTGTGGTGATTTTGGGGGGGTGGGGTGGGTCAAAGGTCCGTTGGCCCTTTTCTTTGGCCCTGTTGTTGTTGTTGTCGTCCTCGTCCTCGTCCTCGTCCTCGTCGTCGTCGTCATCGTCATCGTCGTCGTTGTCGTTGTTGTTGTTGTTGTTGTTGTTGTTGTTGTTGTTGTTGTTATTATGGTTGTTGTTGTTGTTGTTGTGGGACGTCGAATGTTTCTGAACCCTTTTCTTTGGCCCTGTTGCTGTGATTTGGTGGGTGTCAAATGATGTCTCCTTGTGTATGTAGGTGATGATGGTATCGTCGGCGAGTTTGGTGCGATGAATTTCTTTGCATTCATGCAATCGAAGGATGGTTCCCTGGAGTTGGTGACCCCTGTGCTAGATGGCACAATTCTTCCTGGCATCACAAGGGACTCGGTGAGTAAATCACTCACACTAACTGCCATGACTTACATAATACGCCACTGCACTGAAGGCAGCAAAAGTGAAAACCCTAATGAGCTAGGCTACCAGCCGGGCGGCCCGGATCACCTTGTTTCCCCGGGCGGCCCGGCCGTGCAAGGACCAAAGAAGGTCCCAGCAGACAAACAAAAAAAAAAAAAAACCCTGAAAAAAGCCTATGTTATGCAGAAAAATAAACTGAACAACGTTTTCCTCAGGGTCATACCGAAATATTTTACCAAAATTCAAATAAACAATAAAATTAAAGAAACTTTTTTTTTCTTTTTTTGTTTTCCGACCCGGTCGGGCAAGTGATCCCGTGCCACCCTGGTAGCCTTGCTAACGAGGCAAAATGTGGAGCTGGCTAATAACCAATGAGAAGTACCAACTGGCCTTGCTGTCAGTTGGTGTACACCCCTGAACAAACTGTTGAAACTTGAAATACAGACCTGAGTTTGAACTCCACTGGAAGCAGACAAGTACCTTTTTTTTTTTTCTTTTTTTTTTTTTTCTTTTTCTTTTTTTTTAAAAGGGCCCAGTGCCCAAGGCTGATATTATCAATAATAAGATTGAGGCCGGGGTCCTCACAGTCTGCCCGGAATGAACATACAGAAACCGCTAATGATGACCATGATATCCTAGATAATGATGTTACTGAGAATGATGATTCAAAATATGAAAAATTAAAGAAAAATATGCTATATCAGCTATTCTGGCCTCCTAATCCTAGAACAACTCCCAGCCCTCCAAACCAACCTAACTAATTGTCAACCATAGCTGATCTCTTCTCGCTTCATTTCAGCCCCCCCTGGTTCACTACTAGACTGCCTTCCACCCTCAGCAAACCCTAGATCTTTCTACAAGGCCTCACGCTCCTGCTATTAATAGGTTACATGGCAACGCCCCAGCTCCGACCAGCGTCGTTCTGGCATCAGCAAACCAAGGGCTCAGAACAGAGCAACTAAGTTGAAATCAGTCCAGGTTCAACCATCTCTGAAGTCCTACATCCCGAATGTGGAAGAATGCTAGATGCTGCCAAAAACTTCAGAACACCAAAAAGCTTAATACAACAATAATCAGATGATGAAACTAATGGTGTGATGATGATGATGATGATGATGATGATGATGATGATGCTATATCAGCTATTCTGGGCTCCTAATCCCAGTACAACTCCTAGCCCTCCCTATACCAGGACACTATACTACAGAGACAGAAACAACCTGACCAACATCAACCATAGCTGATCTCTTCTCGCCTCCTTTCAGCCCCCCCAGGTTCACCACTGGAATGCCTTCCACCCTCAGCAAACCCCAGATCTCTCTACAAGGCCTCACACTCCTGCTATTTACAGGTTACAGGGCAACGCCCCAGCTCCGGCCAGCGTCGTTCTGGCATCGGCAAACCAAGGGCACAGAACAGAGCAACTCAGAAAATATCAGACCAGGTTCAACCATCTCTGAAGACCTATATCCCGGATGTGGAAGAATACGAGATGCAGCCAGAATTTCAGAACACCAAAAAGCTTAATATACCAATAATCAGATAATGATAGGCGAGAATTTCAACACACCTCCATTCTCTCCATTACCCTATTCATCCCTTTACTC